CTTCATCATTGTATTCCACTTCATCCGTAGCTTCCTCCTTATAGTCATAATCTTCAGTGATTGCATTTTCCAGGAATTCATTTAAAACAACACATTTGTACATCCCATAATCTTTTCTGTCCACGTTGGAGATGGTTAATAATCCAGAATCAGAAAGATTCACTCTACCTATCAGATCAAATGGGGTAGAAAAACTTTCATCATGTGTGTCAGCAATTACTTTATAGGGCCCTGCTTGCACATGGCGGTACCACTGGACTCTTTTAGAGCTATCTAGGCCAGTACGGCATTCCAGTGAATAAGTTTCTCCCACAGATGCAACTCTCTCCAGGGGTACACTTTTGGGGCAAAGAAACACTGAGTACTGGATCTCAAACGAAGGAGAAATGCATGAGTAAGTTCCACTGAGTTCATCAGAAATGACAGGGATAGTTAAGGAGAAGCTTGTCGGCTCTTGATCAGCTGATATGTACATCTGATGTTTCCTTTGGCTGCTGCTGTTGATGTGTCCCAGTGGTGTCTCCCATTGCAGTTGCTTAATATCACCAGTACAATTTAAAATCACTCTTTCCCCTTTGGAGACATAAATGTCGATGCTTTCACTGTGGTCTGGAAAGAATATGTTTTGGAAACCAAGGCAAGTCTCACCTTTGAACACAAGACAGTAATACTGAGGGAAACTCTTTAACACAGTTTTGTTTAATATGAGCACAGCCCCGTTTTCTTTAGCCTTCACCAAACCTTGCATTTGTTCTAGCACAGGCTCCAGTGAAACACTGCTATCCAACAGGAGTGTGGACTTGTAGTCTGGATGAAGCTCCTGGTACCAGCGCACAAACGTTCCGTCCGTTCCAACAGAAGGGTTCTCACATCGAATCTCTGCTCCACCTTCATCATTCACAACAATCTCTTCAGATGAAGTCTCTTCTTTGCACACAAAGAGCTGCTCTGTGTGATTCTTGACCACACTGTAGTTCTTCCAGCATTCCCTCCTGTAAATCCCAGAGTCCTGTCCAGTGAGTCCATCCAGATGCATCCCAAGAAGATTCTCCTCTTTATTCATGTGAATTCTACCCTGGAGATCTGATGGAGGTGTGTTGGGTAGGTTGTTGTTAGAGGAGTTACCTAGAAGTTGGTCTCCATCTGGAGTAGATCTGTAAATAACAATGTAATCCGCTCCAAAACAATACCCCATCACAAGATTGGAGCCTTCCTCCCTGAATACAGCCACTGGCCCCTGAGCACAGACCAGCTTGAAGAGGAAAAGAGAAAGCAGAAGCTCTGTGGTCATAATCCAAGTCATGTTGGCAGACTTCACCATTCAAAACTGAGCTAAACTCACACAGTTTTCGTTCTATGAATCCACCTCGTTTTCTCAGTTGTTCCGCCACCAAACTCTGTTTCCTTCTAAATCTAATGCCAAAAGAGAAAAGGAGTGGCAAACACAAAAATACACACCCCTATGCTCTCACACACACACTCACATACCTGTTTGTTTTTGCTATTCTGGTGGGGACTTTCCATTGACCTCCATTCATTTGTAGGTGAATTCTACAGTCTAACTGTGAACCTAACCCTAAACCTAAACATTATGGGATTATTACTAACCCTATTCCTAAACTAAACTCGATTCACACCTTAGCAGTAAACCTAACTCCTAAAACAGCATTTGTACTCATGGGGACGAGACATTGTCCCCACTACAGCACTCAATCCCCATGATCTGATCTTATGATTTATTGAAAACGGTTCCCACCATATACACACATACACATTAACAAATCAGATAAGTGTGCAAGTGTTTACTGTAACTGTATGACAAGTAACCAATGAGACTTTCCTTTCCTGTTGTTCTTTAACTGAGATTGTCATTATGAGGTTTTTACTCTTCAGTAGATAAGCAGAGTCACCAAACAGGCTGCTTGACAGCAGTTAGGAGTGGTTAAAAACCGTTCTGGAAAGTTGCTTTTGTGCGTGCAACTACATTGCATGCAATGGTTTTTGTATTATTATTATTATTCTAATATGTGTTAAGGTCAGCATAAACAATCATAAAACAGGAAAATCTGAGTATACTTTATCTGAGATGTATCAGGTGATTAAAATCATGTACTGTTTCAGTTGCGGTAAAGGTGTAAGTGTCGTCTTTCATTTCCTGATGTGAAACAAGCAAAATGTCAAAATGTTATCCCTTACATTTTCAGCAAGTGGATTAGTTTCATGTTTGTTTGTCAACGGGTAACATGATACACAACATTCAAGGTTGAATGAAAAGGTTTTTTATCTGGGTGCCAGTATGAGCCATTACAGCAGCTCTTAAATAATCTTTTCTTTTGTTGATTTTGGACACTGGACTTTTTTATAAATGGCCCGCCTCTGTGCTGCGAAAGTTTGAGTAACTTCCAATAAAAATGAAAAATTCTAATAACAGTACGCTGTGCCTTTAAATAACAAATGCAGTTCAATATGTAGAGATTTTTTTTTTCTTTCAATGGTTTCTCCACCCCATGTTAAAGTCCACTTCAGCAACATATTAAATCCGAACTTTGGCCTTTAAGTTTTTTTTTTTATGCGTACTTAAAAACAGTGTCAGGAATAGCAGATAACTCTTTTGAAAATAATAAGATATATGATAAAAAGATCTAAAGAATCTAAATGAATAGTTCTGAATTTTGCATATTCAGATAAAACAATACACAAATTAAAACTTGGATGAATATCTGCTATTTATCATGTGTGCATTTGTAAAAAGACATCAGTGATGTCCCCTTCACTAGCAATATATCTCCCTATTTGTAAGTTGGTCTAAGTCTTAAACCAGGGGTTTTTACATTTTACAAAGTTTAAGGTATCAGTTTTACGGATCTAGCAATAAACAGGTCAGGTGTTGAGAGCGAAATGGTTTCAATAACAGGTACAGTTTATAAGAAACATATTTCTTTATTTTACATGATTGAATGAGAGTGTATTCCACATGGGCTATACTTGTTGGGATAGTTTTATTCAGCTAATAAAAAAAAAGTTTGAAGCTAAGTTTTGAATTTACAATAAAGCTTTAATAAAATAAGCTTACCGGTAAATCTGAAATTATGCAAATACACTTCCAGCACTGTATGGCCTAATTTTATAATACATTATCATGCCACTTAGGCATTTATATTTGTTACTCAAGTTCTTTCTTTTACTTTCTTTTATACAACACAGAAAACAAGACTTGGCAGTAAAAGAAATTTCCAAATAGGTAAGCTGAACAGTGAGTTATCAGGAGAGCACAATCACTCGGCTGGAAATCCCCAAACTTTTAATGTGTTTAATTTTACTGTGGGAACTTCTTTACAAGGGAAAATTATTTCTTTCATAAACAAATGTCTAACCATGTTGGACAAAGGTTAGTGAAAAACCCTTATGGCACTAGATAGTGGAATTCTTTGTGAGGTTTCAATGATTGGGCCTGGGAAGATATTGAGATTATGCCTCTTTTTTATGTGTTATTAGAAGTGGCATTGTTTGATCAAGTTTAAGCAATAGCTCTGTTATGAAGCAACTCCAGACCCCACAGAAAGTTATACATTAGAGAAACCACAACACATTCTAACAAAGAAAGCTGCCAAAGCCTCATTTGTCAGAGCATCTTGACAGGAACCTACAGTTTCACCTGTATGAATGAACTCATTTTCTTTATTTGTTGAATTTTGGCTTGTCTGCTTTTATTTGTCCAACAAAGTTTTAACGCCAATACAAAACATCTCAATAAAAGCTACATAAACAATCAGCAGGTTGAGTGGGAATGTAAGAAACAATTTTTTGCTATGATTCTACTCTATAGACTTTCCCATGGAAGACACTTAATCTGCTGGCGGTACTAAAGAAAAAAAATCACATTTATGTCTTTGTGCATGGAAAACCTTGAACAAATGACTGAAATAACTATATTTCTACTGATAATGTAATGGGTATCATTTTTTTTGCCAACTCCTTTTCCCTTGGGGCAAATAATCTGTTTACTAGCACATAAACTATAATGAACCCAGATACTCACACAGCAACAGCAGCAGGTCCTGTTCGGCAGAGGAAACAGCTTGCAGAGCTGATGATCAAGCATCATGATTAAGCACCAACTGTGAAAAACTCTCCATGTGTTCAGTCCAATTCAGTCTGGCGCTGATTACACTCATCAGGACCCCTCTTGCTCCAGGGTTTGGAGGCGCACCAACTGCTGTTTGAGATCCAGATTTCTCTAAAAAATATTTGATTACTGGACATATGGGGGTAAATAAATTAGCAGAGTTTCAAAAAGGTGCAAGTTGTAAAGGACCATGAGGTTTACTATGGAAAAAAAGATCGAGAAACACTTTTTGCCAGTTAGCAGTTTTTGGAAATCTTTAATCTCAATGATCTTATTGGTGAGTATGGATATTGTGTGTATTTCTGAACCGAAGGCAAATGCTAAACAGTTGTTTATTATCTCTCCTTTATGATTTTTGATAGCAATGTTTGTAAGGCATTTCCTAAATATTGCAAAATATGTACTTTGAAAAGGCAAAGATTTGCCATTTTAAAATTTCTACAATTTAAGTGTTTTAAATACAACGCCAAACAGAGTTACCAGATTTAGATGTCTACTCCACTTTTTAAGTGTACAGTTTAAGTCAATTTAGAAATAGTTTTGGTGCCAAATAAACTGACACATGGAAAGGAAAGCAGTACCAACCATCTCATGTCATGTGCTGCTTTAAAACGGAATTTGGAGCAACATGATGATAAAGCAGCTGACTACAGGCAGCTGAAACAGATCAGCTGGTTACAACTTCACTATGAAAATCAAAGTTGACAGAAAATTGTTTTGCAAAAGCCATTGAAATTATAGTGTTAGAAAGAAAGAAAGAAAGAAAGAAAGAAAGAAAGAAAGAAAGAAAGAAAGAAAGAAAGAAAGAAAGAAATGTAATTAGTTGTTATTCCTACAGTACCCTAGACCACCTCTACGTGTCGCTGTTCTGCACCTTACTAAAATGTGTTTCATAACAAAACGTCACATCCTGTGACCGCTGCTAAAGGTAATTCATTTCAGTTTTGTGTTTTTTTTCTCTATCATTTAAAACAGGAACGCTTCCAGCCAGTGAAGATAAATCAATATATTATTAAACGCATTGAATGGGGCATAAAATTGAGCCACTGGCTTCCTGCTGTGCACCGATTTTACTAAGATATAATCCAGCTGTAGCTTCAAAGCTAGAATCCCAAAATTCGTGTTGTGTGTTAAATTAAAACCTCAATGTACAGGGATTTATTTTAATGTGACTTCAACGGTCTCGGTTTAATCAGACCAGACATTCCTGTTGCTTTCTACTCTGTTATTTGGTCTCCTCGCTGACCGTTTGATTCATTAAAGCTTCTATTAACTTTCACTGACATTACCTAATAAAGTGTAACAAAATAAACAGATAACAGTTCATCACACATGGGTCTTTAAGATGCAGACACTATAGGTTTTTTGTTCAGGGTGATATGGGTTTGGTGTTACAGTAAAAAATGAATGAGGCATAGTATCCTTTAGTTAAAGTTTTATTGATTTATGTCCCAAAATAAGATGAGAAACTACAGAGGTGACTTTAGTCTGCAGTGATTAAGTGGAGCAGAAATGTAGAGCTCCCACTGTCCTTTTTAATGTCACAATGGCAGCTAGATTCATGAAATAAAAAAGGTTATTCTACAGTGGCTGACATGTGCAAACATCCTGCAGATACATTAGTGAGACCAAAAAACACACTAAGGCTACATTCACACCACAGTCTGAAGAGACCCAAATCCGATTTTTTTTTCTTTTTGCCCCTATGCGACCTGGATCTGATCTTTTCATGACAGTCTGAACAACACAGATTTGATTTTTTCCAATGCGACCCAGGCCGCTTGGCTTTGTGGTCCTGAATCTGATATGAATCTGATCTTTTCAAATGCGACCTGTGTGTGAACAGCCAGGTGGCATTCATCCAACCTTAACGCCATTAATACCCGACAGTGGTCACTCTTCTGGAGAAGCAGCAAGAACAACAACAATGGTGGACGATAATGCGGAGATTAGTATTTCTGTTTAACCATCTTGGAAAGATTGAGTTTTTAATTTTGGGAATAATCGCTTTAATGTTCTCCAGCACTACCATCCATGCTGACTTCCGTAAACACAGAGCGCGCTTGCTTGTGAAGTCATTGCGTCCTCTACTGCGCATGCGGGACACTTATGTTGTATAAGTCCAGTTCACACAGGAGATCACATACAAGTCGCATAGATTTTGAAATGTGAACGGCAACGCAAAAAAATCGGATTTCCCCCCAAAAAATCGGAATTGAGCATCAAGGCCTGCGGTGTGAACTTAGCCTATGTGACACAAAATTCGACTAGCTAATCCAAAAGTTAGATTAACACACAAAACACATGCAAAAAGTAATTATGTAAAAAAAAAAAAAAAAACAGTACTACAAACCAATGTGTTTGGAGCAGAAATATTTTAATGATATGCCCAAAATGTAGGACAATTATAGGTAAGCAAGAAATTTGTAATATTCTGATTTTTAGGCCAAACTACAGTCCTTACAAGATCAGGGTAGATGCAGACCAGTAATTTTTTTGTGTTTTCTTTAACTTTGGTTCTTGGCGACTTATTCTTTCGTAAAGTACTGTTAGTGGACTAAAGACAAATATGTAAACATTTAAATAATAGCCAACCAAGTAAATAGTTTCTTGTGACGAGTAGAAACTCTACTTAGTTATGTCTTCTTTTGCCCAAGTTACATTGATTTCAGCTTTATCTAAAAACAAAGCAGAGCGATGATACAATCGGGACGTTTGATGATGACTGTTGCTGTTTCAGAAACCTAGTTTCCTGATTTTTATTCATTTCTCTTCTTACACAGCATCTGAGCAATCAGAGGACCTCGTCTCAATGTTGCGCTGGATTGCAGCATCCTTGTGCCTGCGATGTCAACATGTCCCACTTTTACCTTCAAACCTCAGGGCTTGTTCGACTCTCAGCTCTGTGGAGAACCAACAGACTGTGGAAGCTCTTTATGAGCTCTCTGTGGACATCCAGAAAGTTCGTAAACTTAAAGGATGGGTGCTACATCAAACTCCAGCCTACACTAAGGAGGTAGCTTGCCTGCTGAGAAACATGGGAGCCTCGAGCCCCATCATTGCTCATATCTTGGTCGTTCACCCTGAGGCTGTCCTCTGCAATCCAGAGCAGCTGCAGGCTCAGCAGCAGCTATGGATGTCTGTTTGTCGGAACCACAGAGAGCTGATTGGTATTATTGAGAAATTCCCAGCCTCCTTCTTCACCGCATCCAGTCACCATGAAAACCAACGGAACAACATTGCTTACTTCCAGAGCCTTAACCTCAACAAACGGATTATTACCAAACTGATGGCCAGTGCTCCACAGAGCTTCAGCAGGCCTGTAGAGCAGAACCAACTGATGGTCTGCACCCTCCAACAGGCCTACAGGGAGCTTGGTGGGGATGAAGCCAACATGAAAATATGGCTGCAGAAGCTGCTGAGTCAGAACCCATTTGTTCTGTTAAAACCACCGGAGATGCTAAGACAGAATCTGATGTTCCTTAAAGACAAAGGGTTCACCACAGCAGAGCTCCTCCGACTTCTCTCCAAACTGAGGGGTTTTGTCACTGAGCTGAATCCGGACAGCATGTGTAGGACCCTGGCTTTCTCTCAGGAAACCATCGGCTGCTCTGATGCAGAGCTGAGGGAGATTATCCTCGAATGTCCAGCTCTTCTTTACTATCCAGAATCGACTTTGGCCGAGCGCTTTGAGGGCCTCCTCAGCTCTGGAATCAGCATGCCTCAAATCATAAAGACTCCAACTGTCCTGGAGCTGACCACGCAGATTGTAAAATACCGCATCCACCAACTGAAAATACGTGGTTATGATATTAGCACAGGTAGTCTAGACATCATAAACGGTACAAAGAAAGACTTTGAGATGAGCTTTGGGAAACTGCAGCTGCGCAGAGAGAGACCTCTTTTTAATCCTGTTGCTCCTCTAAAAGGAGATGACTAAGCAGATGATGGATTTATAAAAGTAGTAACTGATAATTAGTCTTTGCTTGTTGTTCTGATGAGGATTTTTAATGCGTGCCTCTATCATAATACTGTACTACACTTAATGGTGCACTCATTTTTAAGGTTACGTTTGCATGATGGAAATTCAGCATAAAATATCTAAGGATGCCTTAAATATTTAACTGAAACAACCCCTGGTGGGAAATGTTTAAGTTTAAAATTGAACGTGGGTAAAAGAACTTCTAATGCAGTTTTCTTCACATTAATCGAAAGATTAACCTTAAGTATTGTGCTTTCTTTCCAACTGCTGCCAAACCTCCACAGGTTTCAGGATGTTAAGTTAATAATATCCAATTAAAATGTAATCATTGAGCCATGTGTCATTTTTGGTGTTATTTTGGGTTTTGTTAGGGATATGGGATAAATGAAATAGCTAAAGAAGTTGGAATAAGGTGGGGCGCCTTCGTCACTGTTAACAGGAAAGGGAATTTAACTTTAACATGGTTTTAGAGCCTCCGAACAGCAACCCTTTCTTTCTGTCAAGGAGCAATTTTTTTTACAGGAAGTAAAGCTTTATAAGTAAGTCTTAATAAAATCATATTAAAGCAACTTTTTAGCACAGTTGAGGGTCTTTTTTTGCCTGAAAGCGTCCCAATTTACACAGAAAATGATCCAATATTCTTACAGAAGCTTATTGATGTTGTGGTCCTTCTACACACTGCATGGAAATTAAACCAAATTTTTGTGGAGTTATTATTGATGTTTTCTTGTTCATTTTTACAAAATAATTCTTGAATGTTTTCTTTCAAAGACACCTGATAAGTGCTTGAAATCTCAGTGCATCCACCTGCTTTTGTCTCTTAAGCATGAGGTGCGAAATCTTTCACTTACATTACATATAAACTGTTGTGATGCTGTTTCCAACTGCTCTAGATGCTGCTTAAAGTCAAATATGCCTCAAACTTTCACTCTTTTAAACTTCATCAGTGTCATAACAATAACTGATTCTCCTACAAGTATTATGGAGTATTATTTGCTTCTTCCAGCAGAACAGGGTGATGTTTTACCGCAGGTAGCTACTGTAGTAGTAGAAAATGATACTTATTTTTTGACTTAGTCATGTGGTTTTTCCCAATTAAGCTTGACAGCAGTGTGCTGTTATTACACTGCAAATTTTTATTGGAAAAAATGAAGGGGAAAATGTGATGACAAAAAGAGAAAAGCAACCCCATCATGATGTCTAACAGTATTTGTTATTTATTTTTTTTGAATAAAGGCTGTCTTTTTTTTCCAGATGGGAAAAATTTCACAGCTCATTAAAACATCACACCGTCACAATAACTTCTCATAAGAACTCTGCTTGACATAACAGCCTAATGACAGACGTGCTGAGTTGCTGTCAAATGTATTATTGAGCATAAATTAGGCTTTTCAGTCCATTTTATTTACAGCCGGAGTCTCATTTTTACGGGATTCTCTGCAACTCTTCCCCTGAGGGAGGAAATACAGCTCGGAGTTTTATTGTTGCTCTGCAGATGGAAGCACTTTATTATCAGCTACTAAAGTGCCGCTTAGTTATCACTTTAAATGGACTGGGAACATCAACATTTGAAAAGATTTGGGTCAGTAATAATTTATTAGAATGCTTCCGAGCTTTAATTTCATCTGTATTTGAAAATCAAATGATTGTCAGGCCTTTCATCCAAAAGCCTTTATGCTCAGCTTTATTTGTGAACGAATTTGATGTCCCAAAGCTTAAAATGCTTCTGAAAATCTTTTGAGTGAGGAAGGGATGCAGGGAAAGGCAAAAAATATCATACTGTGCTTTGTCCATATCAGGAGGGCATGTTATAATGAATCTGCTGTGATGTTTGAGCCCATGAAAGCCCTTGAAACACAGGGAGACTTTTTAATGAGAGTGAGCTTCTCAGCTAATGAAGCCATGACTTTATGCCTCAAGGTTTCCTCGTGCCACAATAGGGGGGTCATGACTGAGACAGAGGATGTGTGCCTCCAGAGTTGTGCAGTTGTACTTTAACAACATCCTCTTCCCATCTGCTGCCTTCAGGATCACTCACTGTAGTCAGAGTGATAGCCAGCAGGCAGGTGATGCAACACTGAGAGCATCTGGTAATGAATCTGAGTCGAGCAGATGGATGTCTGACCAGAGTTCATTTTTCCTGACCATTCCCAACATTGAATGCCTGAGGGGCAACAACATTACCACCAGTACACTGTAGCTGACGTCCTGAAGGTCTCTTATTTTTCAGCGGCTGTAATTCTAACTGACCGTGCTGCTTGGTTATGGTTTATGCCTTTCTTCAATGCAGAGTAATAAAAACAAGGAGTTAATCAGGATGAGTCAAGGTGAGATGAGACGAGCTTGGGGTATTTCTCACCCACCGTCCTCTTCTCCTTTTCAACAGCCGCCTCATTTCCTACTAAGCTGTTAAATTACTCAGACAAGCAAAGCACGAAAGGAAATATGAAAGAAGGTGGAATTCTTTGTTATTTCAAGTGAGCCTGAATTAGTGCTTTTATGGGTCGTATCTCAGCAGAAACAGATGACAAATGCAATGATTTCCAACTGTAGTAAGTACACAGATGACCTTATTACCTGATTTATGCACTATGTGGGTTTCATATTTAAAGGGTCCTCTTCAAACACCATCTAAATGAGAAGAAATAAACCCTTTGCAGCGGAGAAATGTAAAAGCTATCTGACTCATTAAATTTGATTTCAAATTTCATGCACATCGTCCCTCTCAAAGGCTGTATAAGGTTTTACTGCAAAGGATTTTTCATGGAAATTTTCTTTCTATATGTTCAATTAAAGTGTCTTAAAACCCACGTTTCATAAACAGGTCAATTTCAGGCATTCAATGACAAAAATAAAATAACATTTTATATTGAACACTGGCTCATTTCTTATTTGCTTATCTCTTCATGATGGATTTTAACATTTCATAAAACATTTATGCTCCTTTTTTTTATAGATTCAATTCTTCAGGGCAAGATAGACTTTTTCCAGCAAAATAAACTACTAGTATATTGCAGGACCAGATCTTTAAACAACTTGAATAGGGAGGGAGGGCATTGTAAGGTAAGCATCACCAATAATTTGATTTTGACTCCAGGAAGTGGGAAGGAACCAGCCCCCTACCTTCCAAACAGAACATCCCCCCTGCAAGTTGTACCACATAGAGGGTTCTTAGTGTTGCTTTTGTGTACGAAGAAAAAAGGCCCAATAATGAGACACAAGCCTGCGATTTCTGGATAAGTTTCTCAATTTCCTGTGGTTGTTGTTATCAAGATGTCTGTTTGAGTTTAAAGTCTAGTCATATTTGTCTTTTTATCACATATTAAGTGATTCTGTCTGCTGAAGTTAATAGTAACTTATTTAGAGCATCCCGTGTTGTAAATGTAGAGAAAATTTAGAGCCGAATTTGAAAAAAAAACAGGTTTTTTTAGGCCAAAGCGGCCCAGAGGGCAAAGGAAAATGGAGAAATGTCACATTCAGGTGAATTATTTTTATGGTTATAAAAGTACACTTTTCATAAATGTACAATTACTATCAAGTTACAGTTGAATTTTCATCATTGCTTTTATCACACAATGCTTAATAATTTCCTCATATATTAGGAAAATATTTTATCGGTTCACACAATAATAACAATAATAAAAGATTTTACATTATAACTTGATGTAAGTTTTTTTTTTTTTTTTGCCTGGGTCAAATCTCTATGCTTCTTTTTTTTTTTATATATATTACTGTTTTTATTTTTTTACTTATGGTTTACAGAAGGCTGTGGAGTGATTATCTCTTGCATTTCTTCAGATCAAACCAAAAAAAGCAGATGTGGACTTTTTTTGAAAATCAAATGAAACCCAGCCTAACACATTCCGCTAAAATCATTATTTGTTTTTATGAAAATGGATAAAAGTAATCACAAGCAAAATCCGGACTTTCTGTCCTCACCAATGGCGCCATCTAGTGGCTGAAATTATCAAATACAACCTAAACGTATTAATTTTATTTGGCCTAAAATCCAAATGTTTATGAATGTTTTCAATGTTCATTAAAAGCTTAATCAATATTTTTGAAGACATAGCTCTATGTAAAGTTTGGATAATAAACAAAGTACAACAAAAAAAAAATAGATGTTGCACTTTTCTACCTAAAGTAAAGTAGAAATGGGAACATTTCTCCTTATCTATTTAAATTAGGCTGTGATAAGGAAGAAATGAAGTAATTATGCGTATTACTCCCCAAAGTGGCACCTGCAGTGACGGTTTATATATTAGTAGATTTCAGGATTACATTAACTTGGAAAACCAAAAGACTGAAAGCTGAAGTCAAAAGGAGACCTTTCATAATACTAGAGGTTGTAGAAAAAGAGTAGAAATATTTGGTATATGTTATTGTATAAAAAAATGGTTTATTTTCCTTTAGAGGGGGTGGTGGCCTAGTTGTTGGGGCATTGCGCTTGGATCCCAGAGGTTCAGAGTACAAGCACTGCTCCCAGCGTTGATTTGTACTTGTGACAGTGTAATGACAATGAAGTTGAAGTCTATTCTTCTTTCACTGCATATTAGGTTATTCCATCAGCTTTACAAGCTTTGGAAAAAACATTTTTACTACTGACAAGTTTAGAATTTGACAGTATTCTCAAGTTCTCAACTTGGAAGGTAGAGATCTATTTCCCCAACCCTTCCTCCATCCCCCTCTACAGGGGCTCAGCAGTCGCTCTCTTGAAAACTTGGCACTTGAACTTAATCCCATTCTCCTCCTGGATTTCACTTGGTACATCAGGAAACCTTAAGGGAATCAAAAGGAGAGAAAAGAAGTTAGTCTGGAATGAGACCTAACCAAAACTATAACAGGCAACATAAATGGACAGATTAAAGTGGACTGTAATGTTTAAGTATTACAAAAACCTGGGTATATCGGTATCCAAATAGTAAAGCCAGAGTTCATGATTCAACAATAAGAAATAGATTGAGGGGAGAAAATATAAATAAGAGGTTTCCAGGAAAAAACAAAAACGGCTTACAGAAACCCCCTAAAGCAAATTTAGCCAATTCACATTATGAATACACCAAGACTTTGTGGGGAAATGTTTTTCAGATTAAAAAGATAAAAACAGAACTTTTAAAAGATATATATGCATTGTTACAGCTGGCATAAAAATAACACATTTAAAACATGTGCAAACGTGTCAGCACATGCAGAGCAGGGTGCTCTGAAATAGAAATTGCGCTCAATTTCAGAGCAGGGAAGTTGAGTTTCCAACCTTAGACTAGATAAATTGGGAGTTGAGGATTTGAATCTGAGTTTGTTAAACCTGCTTATTTATTCCAACAGACCCAAGATCTTTAATGAAAGTGCAAAGTTTTGAAGTTTGCAATTAAACAGACTCCACTCACAAACTTTTTTTTTTTTTTTTGAGTATGTGCCTTCATCATTATGCAGACCTACCAGAGACCAATCCGAAAACATCCTGTTGGTACAGGGGTGGGCACATCTGAAAATGGCATGTTCTTTAATAAGCTCTGCATGTTTCATCAGATTACTATGAGCCTATCTTGTTTTGCAATTATTGTTACAATAGGCTGCTGAGGCGAGGTGGTGGAGGTAAATCCTGCTGTTTATAGATTGTAATTTGCTGTGAATCTACCTGAGTCTTCTTCTGTATCAGTGATATTCATATTAGAGTGCAACACACCTACTAATTGCACATGAAAAAAAGGGAAAAAATGGCATGCGCAATTTAGAACTCCTTATTTTGAATTTTTGTAGGGCAGGCCCTATGTTTTTAAAAGAAAAACAATTAACAGGCAGTCAAACTGGACCTGGATGTTAACCAAAGAAAAATCTTGAAGGATTGTCTCCAGTCTTTATTTGTGGACCCTGAGCTCAAGCACAATTGTTATATAACATATAGATATGATCAAGGGGGTGCAATGCACAGTATATTTCTGAGTAGCCTAAAAAAACAAAATAAAGGTTTTTGGGGTGGCCTAGTTAAATCCTAGACTGGACTATTTATAGGATCACTGAAGCTCAACCCTTCCAAAGGCCAGCCATGATCGAAAAACTCCAATTTAAGACAATGAAGACAATCTCTTAAGTAAAGTGGGCCAGAACTATACACCAGCAATGTAAAAAATGTATGCGTTTTGCAAAAATCATACAAACTCAATAGCAGCATTTGCTGCCAATGGTTTTTACGATCATAAGATAATGTTTCAAATATGGTTAGGCTGTTTTGGGGGAAAAAAAGGGGTTTCTTTTTACTAAGGTTATCTTTGTGTGATATAGAAATGTGTTTGAAAGATATATTTTGACAGCATATAGCTCATGGTTTAAATGAAGCAAGGTTTTTCAGCATCTTGAAACAAAAATTCACTTTGAAGAACACCCGTTTACTAATTTGCAATTCAGATTTATTCTTATTATAACAACAAAGCTCTTCACTGCTTTGGTTTAGATCAGCAAATTCTTTTGAGCTGTACTCACAACTTGCTGACTCTTACTTTTTATTTCAGTGCCATGGGGGAGGAAAAAAGAAAACAAACTCTGCCATTAAATAGTTTAAATGCCCACAGGTTTCAAATGTGGCACCTACGATTTCAGATAAAGAGAACACAGATTGCTGTGAGTTTTAGAATGAGAGGAAAACATACGTGTCCTGTAATTTAAACAATTCTCTGTCAAACTCGGGGAAGAACACATCGCAGTCAAAATCGGCCATCACGTCCGTCAGGTAAATCAGGTCACACCACGGGTGCTTCAATGCATCCTGGTTTAAAAAAAAAAAAGACAGTAGAGCATCTGACCACAGTTAAATATTTGAAAATATGTTATAAACAAGCGAATATTGTGTTTTTTCTTCTTTTGTTGGTGTAAGATCAGTATTTAAATTTCCACTGAATAAAACAATATTAAACTGCTGTAATACCAGCCAGTCAATGTTCATTGTCTTCTGAAGTCCATTCACTGATTTAAAGTTTCTCTCATTGTTCTGGTTGATTAGAAAGAATCTTGGCGAAGCTGGCAGTCATGTGAGGCCAAATGAACAATTCAACCGTTTATAGTAGGAAGGAATTTCTAGCATTGGAAGCCAAAACAAGCAGGAAGAGAAGTTGGATAAGTACATTCCTGAAGTAAATCCCACTTAATGAGTCCTTATTTTGCCAAGAATAAAATGGTCTTGGCAAGATAGTTTCCGAAAACAAAAATGACAAAACATAGATGAGAAAGAGACTCATCTATGTGAATTATTTGAAGTAAGCTATTCTCAATCTATTATTTTTTTTAATGTTATAATATGTAGAGTGCTATGTATTTATTTGTGGTGCTACAAAGTGAAGGTGCATTGATCTACCACAAGATGGTGCCATATATAATTTGAAGTTCCAGCATGGTGTGTAACACACTGTTAATAACTAATTACATTCATTGGAGTATTGTTCACAACAATAACAGCAACATCATAAAACTGTGCTGTTATTGAGCTATCTTTAAGAAGATTATTAGTTCTCAGCTCAGCTGTGGAGGTGGTCAGCAGCACAAAGTTCCTGGGGGTGCACATCACGGACAACCTCACCTGGACTGTAAACACTTCATCTCTAGTGAAGAGGGCACAGAAGCGCTTGTACTTTCTGCGGAGGATGAGGAGAGCCCGCCTGCCCCCGCCCATCCTCACAACCTTCTACAGAAGCACCATAGAGAGCGTTCTGACCAGCTGTCTCTCTCTGTGGTGTGGAGGCTGCAGAGCTTCTGACTGGAAGAATGTGAGGAGGGTGGTGAGGACAGCGGAAGGAATCATTGGGGCTCCTCTTCCCTCCATTAAGGACATTTCATCACAGCGCTGTGTGTCCCGAGCCCGTAATATCATCAAAGACCCCTCACACCCCCACCATGGACTGTTCTCCCTGCTGCCCTCTGGAAAGAGGTTCCGCAGCATCCGCTGCAGATCCACCAGGTTGTGCAACAGCTTCTTCCCCACTGCCATCAGACTGTTGAACCTTTGATCCACAATCCGAACTCTGCACCTATTGCACATTATCGGGCATCAAATGCTGCTGAACTTTTAACTTTTAGCCCTTTAAATTGTTCATCTCATTGTATTTTTCAATAACGCATTTTTTGCACAAATGCCATTTTGCACTGAACCACTGCAACTTGCACACTGTATCTTATCCTCTGCACTGTTCACACTTTGACCACTGCTGCACTTTTTGTATTTTTCTATAACTCGTGCCATTGTGAAATATCAATGCAACGTTCATAAGCTGTATGTAACGCAATTTCGTTCTGTATGCACCCTGTGCATACAAAATGACAAATAAAGAAGTCTAAGTCTAAGTCTAAGTCTAGTTTTTATCAAATTAATTATTTTCTGTTATATATATTCCTATTTTTATAAAAATAGAAAAATAGATATATTCTATATACTTCAAAACTCTTCAATAACAAGAACTGGAAGTTGTTTCTAAGTTTCTGGATTGGTTGATTTACCTCATAGACCTGCGTCCCACCAATAATCCAGATAGTTTCTATTATGTCAGCGAGAGGGGGCTCAGTAGCCAGGCGCACAGCACTCTCTAAGTCTTGACACAAAAAGTGGGCATGATCTGGGACTGAGCTGTAAGAAAAGTAATAAAAGATGTAAAACTTATTTCTGGACTACAGTTGCATCTAAAGCTTCTATTGATTCAGATATTAGAATCTTGTTTTGTTTGTACAATTATTCCCACCTCAGCGTCTTACTAAGCACGACATGCAGAGCGTTGGCCATTGGAAACGTATTTTCTGGGTGGGATTGCCAACACAGTCGCCCCCAAACCAGCAAATTCATGTTTCCTGTAGAAATTGCATCACAATCACGTCACAATCAATGTTTTAAATTAAATACTTAAAACTGTTTTTCTGTGAGTAATGATGAACAGTACCTGGTCGTGACACTCGTGCGATGGTGTCCAGAAAGTACTGGAATTCAGACCTGTGGAAATCACAGTTCCAATATTTAATCACAAGAAACATTTACCTTTAACTGAAGTACGACCATTGTCTTCATGGAACAAATTATGAAGAAAATACAACAAAGAAAACCTTTTACAGCAAATCCTTCACATGTAGGGCAGCACTATAACACATGGAGCTGTTATAAAATAGATGATACAGTGCAGGAGTGTTTTTTCCTTTTAAACTTAAAAGAACGTCAGGTTAATGAATACAAGTAGAGATTGAGTATCAGAGTGACACTAATTTTTCCTATATATTTATTAGTTTCTAACGTTTATTTGCTAGTCCTATTGACTGTTAAAAGTCTAAGTTATATTACAATAAATGATATGGATTCTGCTTCAGGCACATTTATTATCTTCAAGGGAGACTCATCTTGCCGATCTACTGTTTGTCTTGACAAGTATTTTAACTGACTTGAGCAACAAGACTATGAGGGTTTGAAAACAGTAAAAGTTGAATGATCTTGATCTAAAGAAGTCTTGCCTCTAAACATCTACAGCAAAACAGTTCAAGCTCACAGACTACATCCTATTGTCTGACGGTTTGCAGTACACAAATTTAGTGCTAATAATAGAAATAATAAACATGCCCACAATCAGTTATTAATTAAACTCTATATAAATTATCAATTACAAAATAACTGTATTTAGGTGATTAGTATTGAAGCTGCAGCAACTTAACTTGTTTTCAGCAAGTTAAGCTTAATATATATATATATTATATAATTATAGTATATAGAATTTTAAATATATCTATATATGCAAAAACATATTATATGGATAAATATCATATCACATTGATGGTTGTTATTACAATATTTTGATTGATAGGAAATTACTAAATGTCCACAGGGTCACGTTATTCAGTAACTTTATATTACAATTACAAATAGCGAATTTAGGTTTTATTCTGCACTTTATTTGATTTTTCCATCATTAGCTTAAAGGTTATTATCAATCACCAGATATCATATATATTTGAATAGTAGATTATGAAAACTTTATTATATACCACATATATATATATTGCACCTAGCGGCATGTGCTATTGAATGCAGTTCATTTAACTTTACGGTAAATTAGCTCTGCCAGCCATTCAAACACTGACGGATGAGTCATAAATGGTCTCCTTGCTTTTTCGATTTCCACAGATCCAGCAACAGGCGGTGTAAGCAATCCCCACCAGGAAGCAATGGACAGTTTGACAGCGCAGATGTGAGCAAACCTTTTATTGAGCGCACGCTGATCTGTCTCCGCCCACCGAGCGGCTGCTGCCATTGGACGCGGTGCAGCTTACCTTTCTTTACTCTGCCTGCATCACAAACACCGTGACGGAGTGAGTCATAAAATGGGCTGTGCTCTCTGGCGATTACACAAGGAAAAAACTAACAATTCCTTTCCGTTTTATGGAGAAATTGCTGCGATTTAGAATCAGTAACTTGTCAGTATTTAATCGTTCAAACAATAAAAACATCTGAATCTGGAATAGCCTTGGTACCTTGTTGCAGAAAAACCTGACTTGAATGTGTGTTTTTTTATTATTTTTTTTATTTTGGTTTCAGCTTAAAGGAATAGTACACCCAAAACATGATTAGCCTTCATTTTCTACTCACCCCCATGCTGAACAACACTCTGGAGTACTTTTTTGATATCTCAAATGCATCTGGAGATCTGGGAGGCTTCTTGCTGTCTGCTGACATTCAAATAATGGAGGTCTATGGCGCCCGAGGCAGAAAGGTCCATAAAAGTCCACAAAAAACGTGTCAATATTCCTCCATACTGCTCGTCCAATGTATTCCAAGTGTCCTGAGTGGGTAGCATCCAGAATTTACTCAAAACGAAGTCATTTAGAATGTTTTTAGAGCATAAACAGTAGTGTATAGGATTTCCTGAAAGCGCGCACATGCGCGTTCACGACGCTACGGAAGCCGGCAGACCAAACCAGCGCATTCAGCTCGGCAAAGAACTCATGCTCTTCCTCAACACTGAAGTCCTCAGACATTTTTCTTTCGTTGTTTCTTTCTTTGCACAGGTAAACAGCACATTTCTTCTTCTACGCTTGCATTATTGGCAGACCAGACGCTGAATGCGCACTTTCATCTGGTTTGGTCTGCCGGCTTCCGTAGCGTCGTGAACGCGCATGTGCGCGCTTTCAGGAAATCCTATACACTACTGTTTATGCTCTAAAAACATTCTAAATGACTTTGTTTCGAGTAAATTCTGGATGCTACCCATTCAGGACACTTGGAATACATTGGACGAGCAGTATGGAGGAATATTGACACGTTTTTTGTGGACTTTTATGGACCTTTCTGTCTCGGGCACCATAGACCTCCATTATTTGAATGTCAGCAGACAGCAAGAAGCCTCCCAGATCTCCAGATGCATTTGAGATATCAAAAAAGTACTCCAGAGTGTTGTTCAGCATGGGGGTGAGTAGAAAATGAAGGCTAATCATGTTTTGGGTGTACTATTCCTTTAAGCTTTAATATGCATGGGTGCTTCTAGACAGGGGCTGACGGGGGCCAGGGCCCCTGTTTTGGCCCCTGCACTGAAGACATAACACTCAAAAAAGTTCTAATGATGATCTGCGCTGGAACAGACATGGTTACTAATAGGTCTTTTGGATCTATTTCATTTGTTTTTCTTTAGAAATTCAGTTTTACTAATTATTTAAAAACAATAAGGTGATAGCTTCAGTGGTATTGAGATAGGATCCCAGTTTTCTTCTGATAAATGCGTTTTTCAAAACAAATTTTTACAGCTGAATTTATCAGCTTTTCTTGAGTTCTAATTCAGATTTTATGGAGAACTGTAATTTTAACTTAAATCAAGTCAAAAATATGTAAAATTCCTAAATTATAAAGGTATATTGACCTAATAAGATATATAGTTTTAATTAAACTTCATTGAATAGAAGTTTCACTTCATCCAGATATGTTAATACAGGTGCTGGTCATAAAATTAGAATATCATGAAAAAGTAGATTGATTTCAGTAATTCCATTTAAAAAGTGAAACTTGTATATTATATTCATACATTACATACAAACTCATCTATTTCAGATGTTTATTTTGTTTAATTTTGATGATTACAAATGACAACAAATGAAAATCTCAAATTCATCATATCAGAAAATTAGAATATTGTGAAAAGGTTCAAAATTGATGGCCCCTGGTGCCACACTCTAATCAGCTAATTAACTCAAACCACCTGCAAAAGCCTTTAAATGGTCTTTCAGTCTAGTTCTATAGGCTACACAATCATGGGGAAGACTGCTGACTTGACAGTTGTCCAAAAGACGACCATCGACACCTTGCACAAGGAGGGCAAGACACAAAAGGTCATCGCTAAAGAGGCTGGCTGTTCACAGAGCTCAGTGTCCAAGCACATTAATAGAGAGGCGAAGGGAAGGAAAAGATGTGGTCGAAAAAAGTGTACAAGCAAGAGAGATAACCGCACCCTGGAGATGATTGTGAAACAAAACCCATTCAAAAATGTGGGGGAGATTCACAAAGAGTGGACTGCAGCTGGAGTGAGTGCTTCAAGAACCACCACACACAGACGTATGAAAGACATGGGTTTCTGCTGTCGCATTCCTTGTGTCAAGCCACTCTTGAACCACAGACAGCGTCAGAAGCGTCTTGCCTGGGCTAAAGAGAAACAGGACTGGACTGCTGGTGAGTGGTCCAAAGTCATGTTCTCTGATGAAAGTAAATTTTGCATTTCCTTTGGAAATCAAGGTCCCAGAGTCTGGAGGAAAAGAAGAGAGGCACTTCATCCACGTTGCTTGAAGTCCAGTGTAAAGTTTCCACAGTCAGTGATGGTTTGGGGTGCCATGTCATCTGCTGGTGTTGGTCCATTGTGTTTTCTGAGGTCCAGGGTCAACGCAGCCACATACCAGGAAGTTTTAGAGCACTTCATGCTTCCTGCAGCTGACCAACTTTTTGGAGATGCAGATTTCATTTTCCAACAGGACTTGGCACCTGCACACAGTGCCAAAGCTACCAGTACCTGGTTGAAGGACCATGGTATCCCTGTTCTTAATTGGCCAGCAAACTCTCCTGACCTTAACCCCATAGAAAATCTATGGGGTATTGTGAAGAAGAAGATGCAATACACCAGACCCAACAATTCAGAAGAGCTAAAAGCCACTATTAGAGCAACCTGGGCTATCATAACACCTGAGCAGTGCCACAGACTGATCGACTCCATGCCACGCCGCATTTCTGCAGTAATACAGGCCAAAGGAGGCCCAACTAAATACTGAGTGCTGTACATGCTCATACTTTTCATGTTCATACTTTTCAGTTGGCCAACATTTCTATAAATCCTTTGTTTTTATTGGTCTTCAGTAATATTCTAATTTTCTGATATGATGAATTTGAGATTTTCATTTGTTGTCATTTGTAATCATCAAAATTAAACAAAATAAACATCTGAAATATATGAGTTTGTATGTAATGTATGAATATAGTATACAAGTTTCACTTTTTAAATGGAATTACTGAAATCAATCTACTTTTTCATGATATTCTAATTTTATGACCAGCACCTGTATATTTGAAGCCCTGTTTTTTATTTCATGCTTTTCTGGGCCCCCACGAAAAGATGCTGGCCCCCTGGAACACTTGGTCTAGAAACGTCACTGCTAATATGGCATATCCTATCTACAGAAAAAAAAGGGCATTTGTTGGAACATCGAAGTATATTTCATTTCCAATATTTAGATAAACAAAACATACAGGGTTCAACTGCTGTCATTGGTCCCACAGCTATAGGATTTTCTGTAACACTGTGGAAACTGTAAGTGTGTGGTTAAGGATGTATTAGGCTTCCATACATGTTTTCACTTCCATACAGAAAGCGTGTATTCCTATTTTCAGCTACCACAGTATACATGTCAGATTAAATAATACTACTTATACTTCAGCGATAGTATCAAGGTGTTACATTATTGAATCTCTTATACTATATCCGTTGGCTGTGCTGTCCTTTTTACATCTCTTTGCAGGTGATGAAGCAGATTGAAGATGTTTT